CGCCCCATAGCGGCCCGGGCAGCGCCCGCAGATTCCCCGGGGAACGTGCGGGTGGACAAAGCCCGGGATCACCTCCAGCTCCACACAACCCGGCGGGACCTGGGTAGGAACGCTCCACGGCTGCGGACGGCTGTGCTGGCACGAAGGAGAAAGGAACACAGAAAAGGGCATCACCAGAACTGGCAGCTTCCAGGGTAGCGTTTCTTTGGGAATCTGGGCTCTGCTGGACGTTTCTGGGTGTAGGAGAGAACAGTGGGAGTTATCAGAGAGCACAAGCAGAATGCAGACCGCACAGAGAAAGAAATCTTTGGTATCTTTGGTATCATCAACACGATTAAAATTACAAATGGAAAAGTCAGTGAGGTAGCCTCTTTGGTTCTCACTAGAAATAGAAAGGTTTTTTCTGGGTTTTTTTTCTTTTTTTCATTTTTTTTCCTTTTTCTTTTTTTTTCCACACACAGAAGTTCATTTTTGGAAGCAGCTAGTTTAAGGGTTTCTCTCTTTTTGCTTGGTATGGATTATTTTCCCCCCAGCTTAAGTTTTAAGAAGCCACAAAGTTCAGGCAAAGTATCCCAGTGTCTTTTTTTCCCCCTATTTTTCTGAACGCACAGTTTTAGGTTGAATATTCATTGCTTGTCCTCAAAGTTCACTCTGCTGCTCTTACAGGAGATCAGCTGTAGTGCTTTATAGATAACTCTAATTAAAAAATAAAAACTCTACAAGGGCATCCCCGGGTGACGATGAATAAGTTAAATAAATAAGTTATATTATGAAGGCTTCATGTGCCATACTAAAGGTATGTCACACTTTCTAATCAGGAGGGAAGAGATTAACTTAAATAATTTAAATGTTGATATTTAAACAATTAAAATGAATTAAAAGAAGGAACTTAAACTAGACCTTAAGGGAACCAGTTGTTCTTCCCCTGTGTGACAGAAGCTGGCTGCTCTACAAAGCAGTAGCAGCTCTGAGGTGTATTTACTAACAGGCTTCGCATCCCCGATGCGCTACAATAGTCCTGCAGATAAATAAGCAAAGTTACTCCCAAATGAACTCGCAAATGGCTGAATTAAATAGACACAAATGGCTAAGACCAGAGCCTGACCCCCCATCTACATTCAGGCAAAACTCCAAAAGCTAAACCGAAACACAATGCGATTCAGACTGAACAGAGATCTCAGGACCTGCCCTAAGACTAAATTAAATAAATTACATTATTGATAGATAATATATTGGGTTAAAACCCACAGGTGTCTGGAAAAAAATAAAACCATTTTAAGCTTTGCCTTCTTAAAAATTTTAAACCATAAAAATTCCCTATAATAAATATAAAGGAGGCCAAGTAGAAAGTTTCCCCATCCCATACAAATACTCGGGAATCGTGACAAGCAAGGGAAGCGCTGGCCGTGTCCGAAGCCAGCCCGCTCTGCAGTCCGGGCGATGCCGCACCTTCCCTGGGGAAAGGAGAGCCCTGCCCTCCCGCGGGCGGAGCGAGCTCTGCCGCCCGAGCGCCTCGCAGCTCTTTGGCTTCAGCTGTAGGTACGAGAGATCCACAGGAAAGCTTTGCAACCCAAGTCAGTGAGCACACTCTTTGCTCCTGCACGGCACACCCAGCAATAGCCAAGGTTTCTCGAGAGCTGAATTCATCTCGGCTGTGCCCAAGGCTGTGGCTCCAAGTTCCTGCTCCAGAAGATGCTGGGATACTCTCGGTACACACGAGTCTTTGGCAGCACAACAAATAAAGCAACAAGTTACATGACACAGCTCTGTATATTGATCAGCACAGGGCCCGGAGGTGGAACACAGCTGCTGGGGTCTGGTGCGGTGTGGGCAGGACAAACACCTCACCGCAGTCTGGCTGCCACGCTCCTCGTCTCAGGGAGCTGCTACATAAAGGCCTGAGGGAGTGGACAGTGAAATGGAAGACACACAGGGCCAGGAGAGATGCAGGGATAACAAATGCAGCAGGATCTTGGGGTGGAAATGCATTGGGACTTGATAGGCTTGAGGCCCCAGCTCAGAGAGGCCTCGTTTTGTTGCTCCTCTCTAATGCTGCACTTGCACAATTTGGAGAGAATTTCACTGAGGAGAAATTTGTGAGTAATTCAGTGCCTGATCTAAATTCCCTTGTGTTGGGGCCATTGGATGAGCTCTGAGCAGGAGGAAAAAGGCCAGGTCTTTGCTCCCAGGCTCCGCCAAAGCTGTGGGCAGCTCCCGCTGGCTCCGGGGAAGGTGGGAGGCAGAGCTGTGGCCGTCTGGATGGCCCTCAGGGGAGTGTCCCTCGGGTGAGATGAGCCTCACTGGGGTGTCCCACAGCTCAGAGGACGCCTGGGGCTCATTCCCTGTGGGATACACAGCGGAAGGGGAGCTGAGGAAGGAGCACTGGGGTTTTCACTGGTCCCGTGTCATCCCCTGCCACTGCAGACTGCAGGGGGACACTTCAGCATAGGACAGCTCCCCTGAGGGCAAAGCCGAGCTCAAAATGCACCAGGGGCTGGTCTGATGGACACTCAGGTGGGAATGAAAGTGAAACTTCAGCTGGGCCCTGCTCCACAGCCTGCTGGCTCCAAACTCTGCACTCAAACATCTGGCATTTGGGTGAGAAGCCCACAGGATACATCCATACAGATTGGGACCATTTTTGGGCAACTTTATTCCATGTCTGGCTACAAGGATTCTCTAAATCTCCTTGGAATCTGCCAAAGGATCCTTTGATCCCCAGAGCAGGCACATGCTGTCAATTTAGCTGTGAGGATCCTGAACCTGCTTTCCAGAAACTTTTCCTGTCCTGAGCAGACACAGCTTCTTGATTTTTTTTCTATTTTAATTGGAAAGTGACTGCAGCAGTTGTGTGAAGCAGTTAAAATGAAGCCCATGTTTAAAGGCAGAGAGGAGCAAGACGTGCTCCAGCTCTGAGGATAAATTTGGACGTGTCATGATCTGGATCATCACGACCTGGATCAAAGAAGGTTACAAGGCTAATATGTCAGCAGCAGCTCCTGAAGTGCCCCAGGAACTGCTGAGTACTACTGGGGTTTGGTTCAGGTGGAGGTTTGGAGCCGGGCTGTGGGGCTGCTCAGCACTCACAGTGGCAGAGATGGGAACACACCTATTGCAAGCTTTATCCCTGGGGAGGAGAGAGAAGGGTGGGGGTCACTGGGCCGATGTCGCGTGCAGGAGGGCGGCTGTCCACGGCCCCAGACACACAGGAGACCAACACACACATCACAGCCAACCCACAAGTGTTTCCTGGAGGGAGGAGATGCACCAGGGCAGTCTCCCAACATCCTGCACTTGGAGTCCATGCAGCTCTCAGAGAGGTGCCATGTGGGGCAGAAAGAGGGAAAACATAAATGAACCCACCCTTCTGGCTGCACAGAGACTCACGAGTGGTTACCTGTCCAGAGATCAGTGGGGTTATGTGCATTAGTCGTGCAAGAGGAGAAACAAACTGAAACACAAGTAGTGAGAATCCTCATCTTTGGTATTGTAGCTGTTGAGGTTTTGGTTGCTCTGTTCCTTGTTCTTTTGAAAAAACTGCATAGGCACAAATTAAAGACAATCTTCAACTTTAAGAGGACTTGAGTTGTCAAATGAAGCAGCAATTGTACTGGCTTTGCTTTGTTCTCATTCTTGCCAACCCTTTCTTTGAGATCTGCTTCCGAAAATGTCCGAGATGTTTGTAGAACACAGTGTGGGGACTCGTTTGCTTCCTGACATGCTTCCTTGTTTGTTTTTTTTTTTTAATTTTAATTTTATCTTTCAATGGAATAGTTTGTTGCAGAAGAAGTAGGTGCAGAAAACGTTTCTTTGGTTTCGATTAAGTAGTACATAAAAAAGTCTCAAGTGTCTGTGGCGGAGCACGGCCGCGCAGGCCGGTCAGCAGCCGGCGGCCGCCGCCAGGGCGGCTCCGCTGCGCGGAGCTGGAGAGAGGCCGAGGGGCTCGCAGGCTCCCCCGGCGCCGGCCAACCACCTGCACCAGCGACCACAAGGAGAAATGGCAAGGTATAAACATCTTTGGCTTGCAGAAATCCTGTCTCTTTGGTGTGCTGTGTTCCTGCCGGCTCGGGGAGCTGGCAGGGAAAAGGAACTTAGGGATGCGATAGAGCTAAACGCGGCACATCGGAAACGGTCAGTGGCATCTGAAGGGCTTGTTTCTGTTTCTTTTCCTGCTTGAAAGTACCATAAAATACTGACAAAATGAACAAAAAGACACTGAACGCTGAAAAGGTTTTGGTAACAGCCGTTGCCGAGGAGAAACCAGATTCCCAGAAACTAAAAAGGATGTAATAATGTAAATTAATCTACGTCTTCCAAAACATTGTGTTTGCTCCATGAACTGTAGCAGTTCCATCGACCTCCTGAGTGTGCATTAGGTACAAGCACAGAGCTTGTGAGGAACTGCCAGCTGTGCTTGAGGCTCGTGCGGTGTTCCCGGGATGTCAGGCTGCAGCTGGCACAGCCGCCCTGGGCAGCCCAGGGCCGTGGCTGCAGCTACCGGCTTTGTGCTTGATACTTTGAGCTCAAGAGAACTGAACTTTGCTGATCCAAGAACAAGCTGATTAAATTAAACTAAAAAACCGACCAAAAAAACCTTAAATCTGATTTTTCCCTAAAACACTTAACAAAAAACCATGCCTGAGTTTAAAAACAGGGTCTTGGGTTTTTAGTATCCGACTTTGTGCTCCGTTGTCGTGTGGCCGCAGGGTGGTGTGGCCAGCACACGGCAGGCGCCGGGCACGGGAGGCCACGGAAACCTGGGGCTCAGGAGAAACCTGCCTCAAGAACGACTCCCCTACGTTTCAGACCTGCTTCGCCTGTCCTGAGCATAGTATTGTGTGGAGAGAGGTTAAAGTGGAGCCTGCGCCTGCCAAGACTGAGAGAAGCCGTAGGAACGTCCTCGGGACCAGCTGGGCTGGGCTTGGTTGCGGGGGATTGTGCTTTAGTCACCGGAGAGGGGCCGCGCTTCTCTCCGCGCTGTGCCGGCCGTGCCGCGCCCCTCACGCCTTGGTGCAGGTGCTGGGGGCCGAGGAGGAGCCCCCAGAGCTCAGGTCGTCCTGCCACTTCTCCAGGCTGCGCCGGCGCGCGTTCATGAAGAAGTTGCTGACGGTGGTGAGCTCCAGGCCCAGCTGCTGGGAGATGGTGATCTGCATTTCTTTGGAGGGACGCTTGTTCTCCTTGAAGATGGCGAAAAGCGTTCGGCGCTGGAGGTCCGTGAAAACCAGGCGGGATTTCTTCTGGGAGTTGTTCCGCTCTTTGTTGGGCTCTTGCTCTTTGCGTTTGCAGGCTGGGAGGGGGCGGCAGAGACAGAGAGAGAGTGTCAGGGTGGTGCCCACAGAGCCCGCCAGCCACCCCGATGGCAGGCACTGTCACACGGTGCAGGCAATGTCACCAGCTGAGCCAGCACCACGCCGGCACATGGGACTGGAGGGCTGCCAGAGGAATCCAGGGGCTGCATTGCTTCTACATCCCCAATACCTCTCAATAGCCAGGAATAACAGCTGTACGTACACTCCAAAGCAAACCCCAGTCAAAGCTCCAGTAGCAGCATCTTTGTGTGAGCACCAAGGGGAAAAAGCACCGGGGAGCTCCTTGGTGGAGCAGGCAGTGGCTCACCTGGCCCTGCCCTGCTCCTCCCTGCAGCACCCCAGGGCACCGCTCCCATGCCTGTCCCCTTCCCGGGGCATGTCCCCAGGGTGAAGCCAGCCTCAGAGCTCAGGTCACGCAGGGCGGCAGGGCTGGGCCATCGCTGAGCCCTGCTAATGGATCCTAAACCCCATTCGTATTAATAGCTGCTCTGTATTTATTAGCAGAGAGAGAACAGCAAGTGCTGAAACCAATACCGCTGCCGGAGCACACCCACACTTAAAAATAGCCTGCCCAGGCTGTCTGCAGCGGGCACAGAGAGAAAATCCATATGTTGACATGGTTAGGTAATGTGCTGGGACAAAATGAGCCCAGAGAATTGATAAGCGGGCGGGTTTTAAGCAGCCCTGTTAAATAATTCTGCAGGTCTGGAACGTGAAATGAAGCTGGCCCAAAAGTAAAAGTCAGACTGTGGAAATGTCTGTGATTAACCCAGTCAGGGCTGTACCTGTGTGGAGCCTGGCCCAGCCACTGTGGCACTGACTGTCTCCTTCTGTGCAGGGACAGGACCTCACAGCATTTCTGCAGGAAACTGGGCTATTTTCTTGGAGTGCCTGACCCTGACCCCTCCCAGCTGCCAAATTCCAGCTGGGGCTGCAGCAGAGCTGCCTCTGGGAGGGAGGTGAAGGTCAGACCCCAAGGCACAAGAGAAGGCTGTTCCTGAGAGCCGGGCTGAGCGCAGACAGGGGCCGTGGTGAGCGCTCCCAGCACAGCCACGGCGGCAGCGGGAAGCAGCAGGATGCTCCTGGGAGCACCGAGGTGAGCCTGCACCTGGCCCCAGTGGCAGACCCGCCTCTCCGAGGCCATTATCCCAGAGGAGCAGCAGGGGAGGGTTTGGGCTCTCTGACTGCACCCCTGACGCTGCACAGATAACAGCCAGCTGCCTGTCTGAGCTGAAAAAGCAGATGAGAAGCTGGGTTCACTTGGCCACGAGTCCAGAATCCAGGAGGTGATGTCCCTGGTGCTGGGGACATGACGAGCAGCAGCATCTTTGCTGCAGCTCCTAATAGGTTCCGGGACACTGGGACGAGTGGAGTGTTTCCTACCATCACTAATTTATGTCCTGAGATACTCTGCGTTTTACAGTTATTGGTATCTGATAATAAATAATGCAGAGGTATGTGCTTTTTGATGCATTCAGTAAATACTTTCCTTGAACTGTTGAGTTTGCTCTTGAAAAGGCCCCACAAAGGCAAACGCTGCACCTGACGTGCATCTCTCAGCAGAGAAAAATGGGGTGAGCACTCTAATAAAATCAAGTGATTTTCCGGGAAGAAAGAGAAAGGTTTTAACAGCAGAGGGAAGGGAAGAGACCATCTGGATTCTAAGCACAATTTGATTTATTAGCTGTGGTTAAACCTGAACATATCTTATGGAAGAAAATGGACAACCAGCAAGAACTGAAAACCATAACTGTGGAAAAAAATATACATAAAAATATAAAAGAAAAGATTTTTCTTCTGCATTGGATTAAAGATGCTCTTCAATAGAAACAACACAGGAACTGCTCAGAACTGGGGTCAGTGCTGCTCCCCTTAGCATGGACCAAAGTGGAGCCCCACAACTTGAAGGGCATTAAGAGGGTGCAGGGACCCAGCGCTGCACTGTGACACCCTGAGTATCATCACACTGAATTTCCCTACTAATAGTCCATCTGCCTGACTTTCTGCAACAATAACTCTGATTTGCTATTTTCCTCCCCACAGGAGAGGAACCTAGCCAACCCAGGCATTCCAAACAGCCAGAAATCCTGAAAAAAGCCTAGAAGCTCTGGTGCTCAGCTCAGTCCCACCCTGTGAGCCCTCAGGCATGGGGCAGGGATGCTCCAGAGCCCCCCTCAGCTCCTAGGAGGGAGACAGAGATGAGGACACGAAGGTCACCAGCATCAGAGGGAGGAAGAGGCCCAGGAGGGGTCCCGGGGGTGGAGCAGTGCCCAGGCAGCCCCGGGAAAAGCGGGATACGTGCCGGGATACTGGAGACATCACCAACACAGCTCCGGTGCCTCTCTGGCCCTGGGGGCTTTAACCAGCAGCAAAAGCGACTCTGCAGCCACGAAACAAAGAGCAGGGGCTAAGAAGGAGCCAAGCAGAGACTGATGTTCCCTTACTCCAGCAGTATGTCCTCAGTCCCCACTGCTCCTAAGGACAAGCGGTGAATATTGATCCTGCCCGTGTGGCTCGTGTGGGTGCAAAGTCACCCAAACCCAGTTATCTGTCTGATGGAACTAAAACTGCTCCTCTATTTGATTTTGGAGAGGACTCAATGTGAGGGAAATGTAATTACTCTGGTAATACTGAGCACAATGAAATGACCATCAAAACATTTTCTAAAGATTTAAAATGTTTTTCTTTTGCTGTGATTCACTTAAAGCAACCCCTTGTATATGCCTGTTACTACAATCTTTTAAAACTAGGCCTCAGAAATCAATTTGATTACCTCTCTGAATTAAGTATGCACGAATGAGAGCGATTGAGATCAATACAAATTAGGTTAAGTACTCCGCTGTGTACAAAATCATTATGGAACAAGGAGCAATCAGAATGAAGATGCAAATAATCACATTGTCGGGGTGGGCAGCCAGTGCTGCTCATCCCTGCTGCTGCACGCACACCAAACTCCTAATTTTTGAAACCCTAGGAATGCCCTTGATGGCATTTATCCAGAAAAACAGATTGGATGCGCAGCACAAGGTTAATTCTGTTCTTCCAGGGAAGATCTGCTTGCTCATCCATTGTAATGGTGAGGTGTTCCCTGTTTGGAGGTGCAGGATCCCTGCGATGCTCTGAGAAAGGAGCTCACAGCTGGCTGTTTCCAGCCAGGAAGGTGTTCCCTTGGTACCCCCCTGATTTCTCCCTCTCAACACAGAGGAGAAGGTGTGTGGGAAGCCCTGCAAGGAGAGCTGCTCTGCTCTCCCTTCACCTCCTGCAGCCCAGTGCTGCTTGCCAAAGCTTAATGCCTCGGCACAGGCCCCGTGCTCCCATCCCATTATGAGGGGAAGAGAACTGCTGGAAAATCACCGCTGCTCATAAATATGTTCCCTGCTTACTGAGAGATATTTTGGTCTTGGAGACAATTTGTGTTTTGAGAACCTGCCAGCCTCTATCGCTTGTCTAATAATTCCTCTGAGCAGCATTTACCAGTGGTTTGAGTCCCTTTTTTCACAACGGAGCAGTTTGATTTTATAGCTCAAAACCCCCAAACAACCCCAAAACACTCCAATTTCTTTTTTGATTGCATTTCTCTCTGCCATCAGCGAGTTGTCTGGCTGATGTTATCACCAAACCCATTTGAGATTAGTCTGTTTGGTATGATTTCTGTGTGAAAACCCCTCTATAAATCAGAGAGCCTTTTATGTAAAAGTCTGCAAGATTGATAGAGCTGGATAGAAAATCTTTTACCTTGGAAAAAGAGATGTATTATCTGTCCCGTTGGATATAGTGCTTTCTCTGCATATTCATTGCCCAGGTATGATGGGCTTTTTCCAGAGAAGACAGGAGCCAGGATGGGAGCCTTAAATACAAACAGATTGCTATCAGAAGGAAGGGAGTGTTCTTCTTCGCTGTGTCTAGTGGGGATAAGATGAGAAGCAAAGGGTTTAAAAGACAAAAAGTGAGATTAAGGCCAGTCATTAAGGGTTTTTTTGTACCTGTAAGCCCTGGAAGAGATCACTTAGGTAAAAAATCCCCCTCTGGAGATCCTGAAGAAAGGGGCAGACTGCCAGGACAAGTGAGGCCTGCAGTCCCTTTCAGCCCTGGCTTCCCCCTGCACTCCATTCTCTGCACACCTGCAGAGCCCGTGTGCACTCTGAAGGCAGCTCCAGGGGAGCCGCTCTGATGAGCAGGCGGCTGCTTTAGTGCTCCGAGGCTCGGCACAGCCGCGCTGGGGACTGCAGGAAGCTTGTCATCTCCCTGTAATGGCTAATTGGGGGGGAAGGAAAAGCTCCTGCAGCTGCTGGATGGCAGCAACGTCCAGGACAAGGATCTGCGAATAACACCAGGGAGGAGCACCAAGGATGAGCACCCAGGGCCACGGCGCAGAGCAAAAACGCTCCTAACAGAGGGTGGGTGCGAAGAACTGACACCAGCAACTGGGAAATAATCCTGCTGGCAAAAATGTTCTCCCCTCGCCACAAATAAATTGTGGCAATTTTCAGCTGGAGAGGAATTGGGATATTTAGGTTCAAACAGTGATGGGCAAGAGATACAGGGAAAAAAAAAGAGATGCTGGGGGAAAACTCTTCTAAGGAAAACAGCTTCAGAACGAGTAACACTTGATGACCAATTAATTGTTTCTTTTAAAAAGCAGGGGAGAAAATACAGAAATGCATTTAAGCCAAAATGTACTCAGAATGAACTTCATGAAATAATCAAGAAACTGATAAAACTCATTTGCTTTGCAAAAACAGGATTCAGATTTCTGTGTGGCAGAAACGCCTTCAAAATGATGTGGAACAAAGAGCTGGGGCAGGGGATGATTTCGGAAAGTTGGTACATGAGAAATACAATTTATCAGCCAGCACCACAATTTACCGCATGGATTGTTCAAACACAACCACTAATCTATAGCTGAAGAGAGCACCAATATTTCAAGCCACCAAGCACCTTTCAAAGAACCTTTACATACCTGTATATTTAGTTCAACGCTAAGAAATAGCTTTATAAATAGGTAACCTGCCTGATACAGATGTTATCATGCCTTAACTTTTAGCTGGGGATGCAGACAACAAAATAATCTCCAAATCCAGGGAAGAAACATTTGGTAGGGCACAAAGAGGCAGAGGATGGGTGGGCAAGTGTGCGCAGCCCACTGCTCACTGCGAGACCCCTCTCCTTGGCTGGGGCACCTGGGGGTGCAGGCTCAGCCCCGGGATGTGGCACTGCTGCCGCCCGCTCCCGGTACCGCCACCCACGGCTCGCCGGGCGACTCCGCGGCCCCGTCTCGCTCCCGCTCTCCTCCCCTCCCTCCCTCCCTCCGGCCCTGCTCTCGCCCCTCTCCGCCGCTCTCCGTGGTACTGACAGCGCAGAGCACGGAGCGGGGATCGGGCAGCTCTGCGCTAATGATCCGCGGATGGTGTTTCGGTACAGAAGTGTTTAACCACCAATAAGGCACCGCAGAAGGTAAAGAGGCGGCGGAGCGCTCTGCTGACCCGCAGAAGTTTAGGGCTTGTGCTTTCCCGGAACCTCCCCGCGGCGGCGAGGGAGGGAGCAGGGAGGGTCCCGAGGGCGGCCCCGCTGTCCCGGTGCAGCCGCAGCCAGGCACGGGCACGGGGAGCCCGGCGGGGCCGGTGCCCGCGGAGCTGCCCTGCACAGAGCCCCCAGCGCCGCCCCCGACAGAGGACTCCGACAGACCCCCGAGGAAAGACAACAAGCACAGAAATAATAACATTACACTGCATTACGTTAGGATAGGATAGACAACACTATATATCTTCTATAATAAGAAAAAATACTGATCACACCCGCATTGCTACTGCTCCCACAGGAGAGGGGGATTTCCCTCCAAGGACGGCAGATTTGCACCCCACTTGGGGTGGGTAGCTGGTGGGTATTTTTTGTTTTTAAAAACCTGAAATACTTGTGGCTTTTTCCCCGTGCTCAGAGGGATTTAAGCAAGCGAGCGAAGGGGGAGAAGGAAGCACTGAGGCGATGGGGCCGCATATTCACACGTGGTAATAAAAGGAAATTAAAATAATCGATTTCCTGAAGGGAAAGGTAATTTGCAAAGGTCTTTCCCGCTCCATGGGGAGTCCATGGCCACTTAGCACCTGAGCTCTCTCCAAACTTTACTCCTGGATGCAGAGGCATTCAGGGGACCTGGTAAAGCAGAGACCCAGAATTATACAGGCATAACTCTGCATGCAGCTGTGATTCCTGATTTTCTGCTCTATATGCAGGGCTCCACGGGGAACCCCCACCCGGGACCAGTGCTGGGAAGGAAAAGCACCAGCCACGTTACTGGAAATGAGCCGGCTCAGGTTCCAGATCAATGAAAACTGGGTCCACGCGTTGATGCTCCTGTTGCCAGCATTAATGCTCTTTTAATCTTCTAAACATTATCTGCATCGATTTCCCTCTCGATACACGTTTGTTTGTGAAGGCGACATCGCCGCGTGCTCGGCAAAAAACCCGAACCCCTTGTGTCCCTCCGAGGCCCCTGTCGGACCCCGGCACCTTCCTTTGGCTGCAAGCACAGAAGAGCCGGATGCCCGCGGGTGCTGGAAGGGACAGACGAGTTTGCAGTCGGCGTTAGAGCCGAGCAGGGCACCAGCGTCTCTCTCCCGAGCCGGGACTGCCCCGCACCTCAGGAAAGCCCGAGCACTCTCCACTCTGGGGGTTCTGGAGACCCCAGGCCGCGGGTGTTTAACCCGTAGCACCTCTGGTTAGAGGTCGGCCAGGGATTAGGGCCATCAATCATCCGTGGCCCCTGTTCGCCCTGCTCCGCCGCATCCCAGCCTCTCCGGCAGCTGCCCCTCGTGAGGGAAATCCCTGTGCCCATTTCCCCACCGCAGAGACCCCCGGGGCCCCTCAGACCCCTCCGGCTGTGCCGGCAAGGCGGGCAGCCCTGGGAACAGCCCGCTGTGTACCTGCCCACTGGGAAACGCTCTGCCCTCGTCGGGATCAATTGAACTAAAAGAAGGGCGGACTCGCTGGCACAAATATCCCGGGATTTTCGTCGCTGTCAGAGCAGAGCGCCCCGGCCCCTGGCCCCCACCCCATGCTGCGGTTTGTCCCACGCGTCTCTGCCCGTGCCACAGTCCCCCGTGTCCTTCTTCACCCACGTCCACGGCATCGTGGTTTCCGGGGGGCGGGAAGGCAGCCCCGGCCGTGCTCCACGGCAGGGCCCGGTCCGCACCCTCGCGGGACCGGCCGGGGGGCCACCACCGGGCACGCACCGCGCCGCGGGCGCGCCCCGCACGGCCTCAGGGCAGGGACAGCTCTCGCTGGGTCTGTGCCGCTCACCTCGGCTGCGGGCGCTGCCGGGGGCGGTGCGAGGTCGGTGCGGGGGTTGGTACCGGGGGTCGGTACCGGGGGTCGCTGCCCGCGCCCCCCCCCCGCGGCCCCCGCAGAACAATGGGGGCTGCGGCGCTCCCCGACCGCGCCAGGGGGCGCCCGCGCGGCCTCCGCGGACAATGCGGCCGGGCCGGGGCCGCGGGGGCTGCGCGGGGTCCGGCCCCCGCCCGCTCCCACCGGCCCCGCCTGTCCCGGGACGCGGAGCCCCCGCCCGGCCCCCCCGGTGCGCCCGGCAGCGCCGGCAGCCGCAGGAGGGATGCTCACGGAGAGCGCGGTGCGGTGCGGAGTGCGCACCTTCAGCACCCGGCCCTGGAGAGCAGCCCCGGCCCCGCCGCCCGGCGGTGGCAGCGGAGCGCGCCCCTCCGCCGCCCCCGAGCCCCTCACCGCCCCGCCGGACACAGCCGGGGTGCGCGGTGCTGCGGGAGGCGGGGACCGGCTAGCTCCGCACAGCCCCGCGGTTCACGGCGGAGCGGGGAAGCGGCCGGGCCGGGCCGGGCCGGCGGAGGACGCACTGCGGGGCCGGCCGGCCGCTCGGCGCTGCGCTCCGAGGGTCGCGCTGCGCTCCCCGCCTGGCACCGGCTTGCACCTACCTGCTAGGCGCAGGGCAGACATCCTCTGGAACTCCGGCTCCTGCAGCCACTTCCACATCCTGCGGAACGTCTCCCGGCCGGACTTGAGTTTACTCCAAGGCTTGGGGTTCCGCAGCAAGTCCGAGAGGGTCCCCTGGGAGCGGCACAGCACTCGTTGGGCGAAGATGGCCTGCGGGATGCTGTAGCGCTTCAGCTCCGCCGTGATCCTTTGTGCCACCTCCTTGGTGTTGATCTCCTCCAGCTGCCCCGCGCCGCTCCCCTGCGGGCCGGCGGCGGGGGGCGGCCGCTCCCGGCCGGCGGGCAGCGCGGGGCCGTGCGGCGGCGGCGGCCCGGGGGGCGCGGGGTGGTGCGCGCCGTTCAGGGGCGGCAGCATGGCCGGGGGCGTCCCCAGCCCCCGGGGCAGGTGCTGCTCCCCCCGCGCCAGCATCGCCGCGTGCGCCTCGAAGTTGGGGCTCAGCATCTTGTCGTGGCCAGGCGGCCCGTAGCCGTGCAGGCCCTGCTGGGAGCCAGGGAGCGGGCCCAGCCCGTTGCCCAGCGGCGAGAGGCTCTGCCCCACGGCCGGCACCTCCTTGTAGGGCCCGTAGAGGCTGTTGACGGCCGGCAGCCCGCGCTCGTCCCGCATGAGCGCGAAGCCGCCGCCGGCGCTGCCCGGCAGGCGCTGGTGGTGGTGGTGGTGGTGGGCGTGCGGGTGGGCATGCGGGTGGTGGAACTTGTCGGAGACGGCGGAGATGGGCGGCAGGGGCTGGAGCGGCGTCAGCGTGGTGTAGGTGCCGCTCATGCCCATGCCGGGCGGCGAGGCCTCGCAGGGCACGCTCATGGCGTGGTGCAGCGGGATGGAGAGCTCGGGCCGGTACTCGGCGGCGCCGTCCAGCAGCGAGGCCATGCTGGGCACCATGGCGGGCCGGGCGGCGGGGGGCAGCTCCTGGTGCGGCGGCGGCGGCGGCGGCGGCGGCGGTGGCGGTGGGGGGGGCGGCACGCGGAGCGGCCCCGCGCTGCGGCCGCCGTGGTGAGGGCTGGGGCTGCCCATCATCTCCGGTTCGTGCCCCGCCGCCCCGTGCAGGCTGCCCAGCGGCTCCATCGCCAGCTCGGGGTTCATGGCGCACGCACCCGGTTCCCCGCCCAGGCACCGCCGGCCGCCGCGCCCGCTCCTCATCCGCTCATCGGGGAGGCGGCCGCCGCGGCCCGGGGCTGCCCGCCCCGCGGGCAGCGGCGGCTCAGCCGGGCCCGCCGCGCCGGCCCCGCGCCATGTCCTCGCCTCGCCGCCGCCGCCGCCGTCTGCGGGCGGCGGGAGCTGTCCGGGGCCGCTCCGCCCCGGCCGCGCCCGCGGGGCCGGGCTTGAGCCGCGGGCGGGCGGGCGTGAGGGCGTGAGGGCGGCGGGAAGGGCGGGAAAGGCGGGCGCGCGGGAGCATTGGTGGGCTGAGGGTCGGGGGGCGTGGCCTCCGTGAGGGGACGTGAGGGGACGTGAGGGGACGGCGGGGCCGTTAAAAATTCCGCCCCCTTTGTAGCGTGCGGTGCCACCGGGAGCTCCCGGGATCGGCCCGGAACCGGCCCCGGCAGCGGCCGGGGCTCCTCCCGTACCGCCGCCACGGGGATCCGCGGTCCCGGCTGCGCGGCGGCCGCACGGCTCTCCTGCTGGCAAGCGGCTCCGCATCCCCCGGTCCGCAGCCCAGCCCTCAGCCGGCGGCTCCCAGGGCCCCGCTGCTCACAGCCGGCCCTGCTGCAAACCAAGGTACAGCGCTGATCTGTGCTGTTGGTTATTGGTTATTAGTTGCCTTAAAAGCGGCTGAATTCGGGCTCATTAATAAGGTGCGATGGACGTACCTCACCCTGGGGTGGATGGTGAGTCCCAGGAGCCCGCCGTCCCCGTGCCACCCCGCTGGCACACGGCTGTGGGGTCCCGCTCCCGGTGCACAAACACACGGCCAGGCGTTCTCCCCTCATCCCAGGGAAGGGCCGGTTCCCCGGGCCGCCCCTCAGCCCCGCGGCTGGCAGGGGCAGCGCACAGCTCCGCAGGGCACAGGGCGTGCGGCTGGCAGCGCGGCTCTGTGGGCAGGGGCAGGGCGGATGGGAGCGGACAGGGACGGGGGCCCCGAGGGGACAGCACACCTTAGCATGTCGCTGGCGAGCGGGGACTTGCCTGCTATGGCACAGCCCGTGCGGGGCACCCGTGCCAAGACACACCGGGTCGGGCTGTGCCCGCTGCTCCCAGCTGTGCAGTTCACTGCTTCTCCCCGCTCCTTAAATCAGCAGCCGCAACAGCAGCCTTGAGTGTCCTTGAGTGTTGTATCGTCCTTATTATCTCGGCTCTGATAACCGTCTCCGTATTTGTGGAAGTCCCACCTCCACTGGGTCTTTCCTAACTAAAAGAGGGAAGTGGGGAGAAATGTCATCTTTTGGACCCTCGATCATCAGGCCACTCACCCTCCAGAGCACCTGGTATCTCCTTGCAAACAGGTTGTGTATGACAGCACCCAGTTTCCCTACAGATTAGATCCCAAAGGATAATGATCAATTCTTCCCATGCTGTCATCACAGCGTCTCTGGAGCTCACGATGTTTTCTGAGCTGCTTTTTAGCACTATCAGGCGGGTATAAAGTGGAGTTCCCCCCACCCCAGCTACTCCTCCCGCTGCCAGCTTGCGGTGAGGGAAAAAAAAAGGAAGACAGAAAAGAAAGCTCTGGCGTGAGGTGCCTTTGTTCAGGGCAACTTAGGCGTGAAATCTTTTTGTCCTTCCTAAAGGAAGGCAAAAGTTGCGGTTGATTTGGGGAAGAAAGAGGCGAGTGCAGCGCTCCTGAGACGGAGGTGCCTCTGTGGGCAGGTGGGAGGAGGGTGGGTGGGCAGGCCCTGATGGGAATCTGGTGCCGCAGATGAGCTGGTGTCTGTGTCCTCCCTTTTCCTCTCTATTCTTCCTTTTCCTCTCTTTTTCTCTTGCCTTGCCTTCTCCTTCTCCAACAAATTCATCAGGTCTTTGACTTTTTCTTTCCAAACCTGCACCCGATGGCTGTGTCCCCTGAGGATGTTTCGTCCCACACGGTAGTGTCTAAGTCTGGTGTCTTTCCAAGTTAATTTCAAAAGTTTCCTGGGAATCAAGGTGTAAATATCCCTGTGTGGCGCAGCTGTACCGCTCTGCTGGAGCAGTGCCTGCCTCAGAGGCAGGAGGGTGCCGGGTGTCACCCAGGCAGGACAGGGTGCAGCCAAGCTGGCAGCTGGGCACGGTGGGCAGAGCAGTGCCACAGCCGGGTGCCCGCTGCTGCTGCTGCTTCCAGCCCAGCGAGCCTGGGCTGCCCAGCGGGACAGCGTTCCCTGCCTGCATGGCTGCCTTTGCCAGAGGCTTTCCCTCTGCTCTTGGGGGAGGGAGGAGGGGGTTTCTTTGTTAGCTTTCCTTATCCTGCCTGCCTGCAGCTGGGCCTCCCCCTGCCACAGCCCTTGCTCCCCCCAAAGAGGCAGCGGTGGGGTGTCCAGGGATGGTGGGTTGGGGCAAGCCTGGAGATTGACCTGGCCTGGCTGAGCTTTCTTGCCCAGCATCCCTCTGGTTTGGGCTGTGGCTCCCCTGGGAATATGAAATTTAATTCCTCTCCTCTTTTGTTCTCCGGGGTTCTCTGTAGTGTCCTGCAGCATCCGCACCTGGCACCTGACCCAAACCATGCAGGAAAGAAAGGGTGACCCCAGGGTGACTCCTCGTGCAGGACACGGCACAGGGAGTTCTCCTCTAAAGCAGCTGGCCAGGGCCTGTCATTTTCACCTGCTTTTAAACAAACGTTGCAAGTGTTTTCTTTGGCATTTTGAAGCTGCTGTCACAAGTGCATTCTCTGCAGAGGGAGCAGCTTCAGCCCCTCAGGACAGAGCTGGACATGGGACAGGGGGTTCAACCCATGCTGGCCACTGGCACCCTCCAGCCCCAGCACCCATGGTCATCAGAGCCTTCCTCACATTTACCAGAGGCAGAGGAAGGAAAGGATTTTTCCTATCCCATCCCCATCCCCAGATTGGGTTTTAGGGCAATAAATCCCTGCCTCTCTGCCAGGACGGTCTCAAGGATAAATATATGAGCTGTAGTGGGTATTAGTGGTGGGAAGCACACAGCACAGACAGAGGATCTGGCATGGCTCTGCTCCTGTGCCTGCCAGCCTGAGGGACTCTGGCCTGAGAGTTGGTGTGAACTCCTAAAAACAAGAATTGCTGCCAGTGAGGACACTGCAGTGCTGGAGCAAGCAGCAGGTCACCTGGAACAAGAAACAGCAGTGGGCTGTAAGATGTTCCTGGGGATGTAATTCACCTTAATGAGCAAACACCCTGAGCCAATCAGTGCCCAGATTCCCACACTTTTTATCTTCACATATTTTACAGGAGTGCAGAATTTGATCCATCACACCAAGCTTGTTGCACTGCATAATTAAATATAGGCAGCATTAAGCATCACTTTTGGCAACTCCTCTGGTGAAGTTTTCCAGTAAAACCTATCAGTGGCCCTGAGCAGTTTGGGAAATAATAATAAGGAAGAGGCAGAGGCAGTGGAGTTTTACAGACTCCCAATGCACAAGAAACCATTTTATTTAAAAACAATGCATTCAATATCAGGTTATGGCACATGAGTCAATGCTGCAGGCACATCACACCACGGGATCACACTGAGAGCTCCCGAGCCCCGATGCTCGTGCCGAGGGGAGCCAGGGCACCAAGGGCTGTGCAGGCACGCTGCAGCCTGGGCTGGGACACACACAGCCTGGGGACACACACAGCCTGGTGCCAGCCCTGGGCTGGGGACACACACAGCCTGATGCCAGCCCTGGGGACACACACAGCCTGGTGCCAGCCCCTGTCCCAAGGCTCTCCGTGGTCGTGGGGCTGGAGCAGCTCCACGTGCAGCGTCCTTCCCGCCACTCACCTGAGAGGTGTCCTGGCCCTTTATGAACATCAGCCTTTTAAAAATAAACGATGCTTTTAGTATGGCCCTTACTAATGAAACCTTTATTACAATTATGGCATTTTTCTTTTTTTTTTTAAGTTTATATTTTTTTATCGAAAACAACTCCATCAGGCATTGAACTGTAGAGCCATTGAAATAAAGACACATTCATTTACAGAAAACCTGCTTTTTCCTGTTTGCCCTGTTTTTGCAGCCTCCATTCACAGTTAGTAGCTCTGTTTCACAAACTCTTGCTTTTTGGCTTAGTTCTACAATTAAACCTGGTAGCAAATGCCTGTTTTCACGTGCCTTGCTACCATTCACCAAGGAGATGCAAGCAACAAAAATAGAGACCCAAGATGTATAAAAGAAGAGAGGAAACGTATTCCCAGTCCTATGTACACCCCCAGCACCTTGGCAAAGGGGCTGGAGAGGGATGTGGCTGCCACTGGATACTGTCCTGGCAGCCCAGGGCCAAGCAGGGTCTCCCAACGGAGGGAGCTGCTCAGGAGGACTTGTCTGGATTTTGGAGCCTCAAATGTTTTGTACTTACAGGTATTGACCACGCTGCATTAGCTCTGTTGGCTTGTCCAAACATTCAGTCATGGGAAGGAGAGTTCTCCCTGAACCATCAGGAATTCAGGCAGAAGGTTTGGGGCCAAAGAGAGGGAAGGAAGAGCCCAGCTGAGGTGATGCCACTTGCAGGGGCCACTGGCTGTCCTGAGCAAGGAGGGCAGCCCCCAGCACCTTATAAATAACTATTAAATAAATAATAAAGATACTTGTTTGTTAATGCAAAGGCATTTGTGCTGGAGAGAGGCAGCCCCAAAGAGCCTCTCCTCCTCAGCCACTGTCTTGTCCATGCCCTGCCATCCTCACCTCTCCCTCAGACCCCACCTGGCAAAACGAAAGCTGCACACTTTGAGATGGTTTTCCACCTTGCATAAGCTTGGGCAAAAGAATATTGATACTAAGAAGCAATTTACTTTGGGCTGTGCTGTGCCATCGATCACGGGGCAGAACTCCCCATTAAAATCAATGATTCTGAAATGTTCAATGTGGGTCTGGAGCATCGATGGGGAGTTTTGCTTAAAAATCAATGATGTAATATGGCGTTCTGTCAATAATTTTTCTGTATTCCCATTTCCAAATATTTGCAGTCAGTTTTGTGCTTCCTTCTCTGCATTTGGTGCCTCTTTGTGCTTTTGGAAAGTTCTGGTGGTGACACCAGGACTGGCAGGGGGTTC